AAAAATATTACTGCAATGATGTACTCACAGTGGCTCAACACTCCTGATGCAGATGTAGTGCACCCGAACAAGCACAGCTGACATCCAAACAGGGCAATGAAATACTCACATTTCTTTAATATACCAGGATCCTGTGAGCATCAGAAACACTGCATCTTTCCAAGATGACTTATTAGAAATGTTTTGGACATGGGAACTGGTCTTAAACAATGCTTAGTTGAAGGGATAGGACACTAAAACCTGAATAAATCAATTTTTCAGCCAGTAGCTTGATCAGGTGTTTTGACTTGGCACGCATTAACAAAACCAAAAGACTAAAATTAAAAACAACAAAACAACAAAAAACCCGAAACAAATCCCACTTCCCATCTTAGATCTTTAAGATAACACTTTTATTATCAAAACCATTAATTTCTTGTGGGTTTTTTTTCTTTGATAGCAAGATAACTCATGCTCTGACACTTATGATATGAAATTCAAGTGAGGGTAAAAGCATGAGCAGCTGAGGTGTTTTGTGTGTTGTTTTTTTTCTGAAACTCGATGTACCCAGGCAAGCCCAAGAATATACCAGTGTTGGCTTGTTGCCAATCTCACCTAGGTATACCATCATAAAAATTAATGTCTTCAGTAAAATTTTATAGCAAAATAGCCAGTACGTGTGAATTGTCCCAACACAGCATGACACCCATTTTGGTACCAAAAATGTGTAATTTTTTTTCCCTTGCATATCATTCTGTTGGACTTCCAGAAAATAAAAAGCTATACTCATTTATGTATTGTAAAAAGCTGTTTATTTGTTTTGTTCTTGCAGTTTAATTAACAACAGAAGTTTTTCCTTGCTTTATTTTCACATGAGGAAGCAAAAAGGCCCCAAATCCATCTTTCTACCTTGTTTTTACAGAATACCATTAAAAGAATGCTGTTAAAACAGTTAAATAACAATTAAGAAATTGCTGAGAGAAAGGTACGTTGAGCTTCATGACATTGAGGAAAGCTAGAGAGACAGTAATGGACATCTAAATTTTTAAGAACTCAAAATACAGGAGGTTGCCTGACTGAACCATCAGCTGATGTGTCTATCATCAGTTCTAACTCCAGCAGTCATGACTTCTCAGTGGTCATCACTAACAGGTTCTAAAAATAGTTGATACATACCATGAGGCCTAGCAATTCCTGAACAGACACATACAAGAGACAGCAAGATATAAAAGGCCACCCTTAAATGTTGTCATGACATTGCCATGAACATACTAAAATGCTTTTGAAATCATCTCTTTAATATTAAGTTGTGATTCTCTCAGATACAATTTATTTGACTACATGACGACTTTTTGCTTCTCAATCATCTGTAATGACAAGATGTGGTATTGAAAATATTCTTAAAATTAATACTAGATATCTGGGAAATCTAGAAAATAATCTTATAATTAATGTATCCATTTAATGTAGTAATAAATGTAATATAGTAATAAAATAATAATGCATACTTCCTCTTCATGCTGTAACAGTCAGTCAAAGAAAAGCAATGTTTTAATTTAAGAGGAACAAGGAACTGTCATTTACTCTAAGTGTACCTGATCCTGCCTGTACTTACATTCTGAAATGAGCCTTTGAAGGCAAAAAATTTGGCAGTCACCTTACAGCTAGGACAGATACTTCAAAAAGAAACAAACAAACCCCCAAACCCACAACCTTTTGACCTTGTAACAGTCTCACTTTCCAATCTGCTGAGCACCCGCTATCTGAGGGGAAGCACAGGTTTCCAACCCTTTCAGTTAAGGGGCAAGTTAAGTCCCACTGTCAGTATTCAGAAATATTTAGGCACTTCCAAAACTTGCCCCAGACATTTTCAAAAAAGGGGCTTTTTGTTCTGAAGAAACTTCTCAGGTTACTCTATGGCAGAGTGTGAAAAGAAACCAAGATAATTCCTTCTGGCCATTTACTCTGATCTACCATAGAATTTACATGGATACAACAAAACCAAAAAAAAAAATCAGACAACAGCTTTCTCCCCATTGGGCCTGTGTAGGTCGTAACAGAAGGACACAGAAATAAGCATTTTTATTAACCTTATTCCTAAAAAGCCAAGTTATATCATTTTTCTCTTCTCTATTTCTTCCACTTTGAGTTCACCAAAAATTACATTTGCTTTTCCAAAAAGGCTCTCTTTAGAGAGGGTCAGGAAAATGTGCTTAAAAGATCAAGCTTAACTAAGTTCAACCAAAGCATTAAATTTAACTATTAACCAAAGAAATACTCTTGTGTTTGCACAGTGCCCCTCCTCCAAACATCCCATGCTACCTTCCCACATCTCACAGTAAACCTGCTGAGTATTACCTTATCCATTGTATAAACTGGGTTGAAGAGTTCAAGGTTGCGGCTGAAGATTCCAGAGCCATACCCCAGTCCTTTCTAGGACCCTCTAGAAGCTGTGTAGAACCTCAGTGACCACCAAAGGTTCTGGTTCAATGCACAGGCACAGCCCCTCACACCTGAGTGCTAACTTATCTAGAATTCATATTCAAGGGTTCTGCCTTACGAAGTCCTGGGATACAGACATACTCAAACAATGTTTCCTGAGAAACAAAAAGGACTTATTGCAGCTTTGAAGTGCTGTCATATCTTGTCATCCACAGAGGTTGACATAGAGGCATGACTGTACACCCTTTTGAGATGTTACCCAGAGCATTTCAACAGTAATGCTAGCCTGATGCCCAAATCTTCCAGGGTTTACTTGTTTGGTTTTTATTTTGCTATGTTTTAAGACTAAGCACAGATACTTGGAATGAGATTATCATTCCTAGTTAGTTGTATAAGCTTGCTGAAACTTTTGCAATCTGGATTTTCAAATCCAGATAGTCAGTGTACCTGAATAGAGCCTCGTAAAGCACCATGTGTTAACACCTATAACAATTACATAAACCATATAGAAAGAACTGAGTTGATGCGTATTTCCCATAATTTTGCTAGGGGAATGCAGTTCTTAAATTGATGGTTTTACTTTAAGAAAAACAAATAAAAAAGCATTAAAACCCCCATAAGAATCTCAACATTCCTTGAGTCCCTGGCTTTCTTTGAGGAGGTTTACAGTGTTCTTCTGTTTTATAGGTATTTTGCTATTTAGAAAATAGCTCCTAATAACACATCATCTTAGCTAGCCAGAAAGCACTTCCAGAAAGTTAAATTACATACAGGAAAGAAGAAAACCCATCTCTTAGCTATACTTATCTTCAATTTAGTTAAAGAGACAAAAACGGTATGTGTGTTACTGATACCTTCTCAATACAAGTATCACAGGTTTTAGGTTGCACTGACAGTCAGAACCAGCACACAAAACTGTGCTTGAAATAAGCATGTGCCGTTATGGATGTCGATGAAACAAGCTAATGCTTTGTGGCTGCTTTTACACATTCTAATGTATATTTTTGTTAAAAGACATTTTTAGGATGCTCCTTATAAAGTAAACATTGCCAAATTACCTGGGGAAGGAATATTCATTCATTCATACAGATAAAATTGGGGTATTCCATCCTGAACAGTATCACTTACCTTGTTCATTTATAGAGCACCAAACACTACAGAATCCAGAGCTGAAACTACATCTACAAAATTAGTTCTTCCAAGACTCATGGTGTTTATAATGAATGAAATCCATGATAGCTTATACAGGTTATAGAAAGCAGCTTGCAATCTCACTGAAATGTGCAACTTGACTTAATGCCCTTCTTCCCTTCCCTTTCCATCACACTAAAATTGTTAACTTACTTAAAAATACTTTCATTCCAGGAATGTTACCTGTAAATATCTTTAGCGGCACTGACCACAAGACTAGGACAACTATACATGAACAGGTACTCCATTACAAAAAGAGTATGAAAAACTTTCATCATTGCAAAGGTCAGGTTTTTTAGGATCTTATTTCTGTGGGATGGAATAAAGATGATAGATTTGCCTTAAGTGGAAGAATGAAAGAAAAAAAGAAAAAGAAAGTAGTATAACTTTCTACCTCTTACTGACAGAGTGAACTAGAAAGGCTTTGGTAAATTTCAGCTGAAATAAGCTTGCAAAGATCTTGGGAGTCCTTTCACTTTTGCTTGTTCACAGATCTCAGAAGAACACTACATAGCAATGAATATCTGCAGTGCTGAAAATAGGAAGACCTTGGCAGGTGTCGTGGAATTAGCCTGAAATATGTAAATACAACTGACTTTTTCCCTCTTCATTAAAGATTCAGAATTGACCACTGAATTAGGAAATAACAAGAATATCTGTTTGAAGAACAGAAAAAACATGAAGACCAACAAGTGTCCATTTCATATAACAACATACTTTTGGTTCAGGTTATTCTCCAAGGGAAGTTATAAATAGGACAACCCACTACCATGCTTATACTATTGCAAACTTAGTTACCAAACATGCTTTTCACCTGCAGCAGTACTGGCCCACTGTAAGTGAGAGAACAAAATCCATGTCCCAGTTCTGGCCTTTTTCCCTTTGGCTGCTGGGGCAGTGGGTGACGGAGGTGATAGTAACATGCTCAGCACCTGGAGGGAAAAAGTGCCGCATGTCCCACACCAATAATTATGAATCCTTAAACCTACTGGAGTCATTATAGAAGGCATGGCACTTTAATCCCTCGTTTAAATAAGCACACCCACTTTGTAGATGTTTGGTTACTTTGCTCAGTTTCCACATCTAAAGACAAAAAAAAATGTAATTCATTTTGAAATACAAATCCAATAATCATCATTGCCTTCTCTGTTCTTGGTCTGTTGCAGCTTGGCAAATTTTAACACAGCTCAGGGAGTAATGCCATATTAAAACTCAGGTAGCATTGTAAGCACACACTTATCATCATCATCTGACCCTTTCACAGCATAAATTAAGAACATGGCATTCAAAAACACTTCCAAGCAAGAGATAAGAACACGCTACGCTGTCAATGTGTGGGTAAAGACACAGACATACATAGAGAACATCAATAACATTTTATTCCTTACTTGGCTTTACTTGCTCTTCCTGCGCTATTCCAACATCATCAGAATCAGACAATTCCTTTATGAAGTTGGAAGGAAACATGCCAGTCTTTCCATTGAGTATACCTTCCCACCAGCCCTCTTCTACCTGCACCAAGACAAAAACAAAAAAAGAAGGGTTTCAACATAAGCAACACTTCACAGAGTTACATTATATACATGATTTTCAGTAACAATAACAGTCATGACTTTAACCAGTTTGTATTAATTGCAGTTGTAAGGAGCACATGGCATAGGCTCCAAGCCAGAACATCTCTTTTTTTGTTTGTTTTTTTAAAGTAAAAACAAGAAAGATGCTTGCACCCATCTGTAAATGTCAGCAGTGCTGACAGCAGTCAGAAGCATGGACAAGCATTAAATAAAAGGACAAAAGAACAATTATAGAGCACACGGTGTCTCCACATTTCAATTTTTATGGATATCAGTTCAATCACTAAATTTTCAGCATTCATGACCACCTTCTTAATGTATGTGATTTACAGATTCTAAGAGTTTAAATTCCCTAAGTAACCAGTGGCGAAAGAGAAATGCCTGCAAAGGACTATTCAGAGAATGGAAACTAGGTATCTTAATATAAATCATGAATACTCCTGCCTTCCCCATCAAAATCAGAAATTCTCTATTTTAAAAATTAAGAATGTTGCTACATCATTAATGTGTTAATGTAAGAACTCTACAGAGAACAAAGAACAGTACTAATGCATATTTGACTCCAGATTTACAAAGAGCTACTGAAATACATAATAATGATACGGTCAGAAGGAGGAGAGACACTGCCTAGCCGAATCCCAAGAGAAAATATCACTTAAAAATGACAAACTCCCTCCTGTATAACCCATTCAGGATTGAACGGCACTGTCAGGCAGTGAAATGACAGCCCTTAGAAACCAGATGCCTTTAGGTTATAATGGGACAGAAAGAAATGACTTCTTATATGCATCAGCTAAACATACCCTTGACAGAAAAATATTTTTCATCTGTCAGACACTGTCCATTCACCAAAAAAGTAACAGGGGAGGACAGTGTCAGTCTGTGATACATCAGTCTCCAATAATGTTTGACCCATCTCTTTCTTGCACCCACAACCAAAAGCATGAAAATAAAAAGTTAATTTTACAATGACAGTTCACATTTACTGTTAAAAAACCAGCCCCATATCTTAAATGGTACTAGTTAATTATTATAGAAAAAAAGTCTGTTTTGTATCACTTATCCATGAAAATCTCAGGTTCTTGGAAAACAAATCTGTTATTTAACGTGTTTAATTATATAACACAAGCAAATATTTCATCAAACTATAGAGGAATGGTTGAATTTCTTTCAACTTAGCTACAGGTACAATTTTACTACAAAGCAAATTATTGTTATTCCAGGAGTGTTTCCTGTGCTTTCTCTCTCCATCTTCATCCTTTTTAGCACATTTCTTGAGCTCCTGGGTTGATTTTTTGTTTTAGTTTGAAAGCGGGTCAGACCAGCACAGCTACTTTCATTTAATCTCAGTACCTGTCCATGACAAATTTTTTTTTTTTTTTTTTAAATGCATCAGTAGTATCACTGAGGTCAAGCACAACTTTGGGAATATGGCTATTATCTTGCTGCTACCTCAGAGGGTAGAATACATACAAATCCCTTGATTACTTTAGTGGGGTGCAGGTTTTTCACATGATAGTATTAACGTCTCTCAGAGGTAATATTTGCTTTTGTTCTCTCCAGACAAATTAAAAACTGTATGGAAAACTGAAACTGCATGATCCACAACACTTAGTAGACCCTACAAATTATACCTCTAAATACCTATATATTATATACCATTATATAGAAAATACACAACATGGCTAAGACACTTTGAGCTATAAGATATTTCAATTTTTCTAATGCACTATTCCCAGATGGCTCTATTGATTAGAGGTAAACATTAAACCATAACTGAATTAGCTTATTGACCAGAAGATTAATCACAGGAGAATTACACAGTTCCCAAGATCCCTGCTTTGCAAGATGTTGAGATTACTTGACAGAAATAAGGTGACCAATATCACTCAGGTCCTTCTTTCCCTCAAGTAATTTTCTCCTGCTTACTTCTTCCAGGGTAACACTTCACAGCTTTCTTACAAGTTAACACTAGCATTCTTTATGTGGCGTGTTTATGTACGGATTTCTATGTATGTGTACAGAAAAACACACATACAAAAATCTTTAGACAGGTAAATCTAAATTGGATGTGAATATGCTCACAGCATTCATTAGCTTATTACAAGTTTTCCAGCTGATACAAGAATGAATTATCTGAAAATACCATGTCACATTCAATAATTTTACAAATTCAGAAAAATCTAAAGCAAACCCCAGATTTTTTTCCACAAGAAAATGCAGAATAATGTTAGCAAGACATCAGAGGTTCAGGTCAAACTTGGCCTCCCAAAGATTTATTAGGAAATTTTCATCAAAAGCATCAAAAGCTTGAGGTATTTTTAAACACTATAACTACATGCTACATACTTTTAAGCCTCAAAAGACACCAGCTAGAGATTAATCCATACAATAAAGATGACACTAAAATACCCCTAGGATTTAGTTATCCCAAATTGGGGCAATCCATTGCCATATGGTTTGAAATGTCACAATAATTCCCAGCCAATAAAACCTTACCAATGAAAATCCATTATTCATGGGGGCAATCCATCTGGAGGTATGAGCACTCAATAAAATTTGTTACTATACTATTAGAACAAAGTGCTTTCAGGATTTATACATCTAGGTCCTGAATTATGCCCAGCATTCATGTGCTGAACCAAGCAAACTAAAAAGAGAAGGATTTCATTCAGTAGTCCATGTCCCTATGCCAGAAAAGAAGTTCTACTATTCATAATAACATACACACCAATTGTAAGTTCAGCCTGAAAACAAAGTTTTTGGTTTTAAGTTAGAAGAAGAATCTTTCCAATCTGCCAAAGGTAACTGGCTACAGCTGGAGGTATTTTCAAGACGTCTTTCCAATGTGTCGTATCTGTTCACTGCCTTTCGGAAAGGCATGGCACGTCTTCATCTTGCCCAGCCCCTAGGCTGCCAGTACTGCTGTCACACCATATTTGAAGAGCAACAACATACGGGAAGGTGACTGAAGCTACTTCATTACTCCATATATTTAAGCAGGTAACAACACATGCACCCAACTGCAACTCAGTCAACGCCAGGCGTGGGGCAGGGACAGATGCAATAGCAGACAGCTATATGCAGTCCAACGCTTGGGCATGATTGAATGAGATACGAACTACAGTATCACCAGAGGATGGTGCATCATCTCTAGAGAAACGCATCCTATTAAGAAGCCCTGCCTTTGAGGTTTAAAGGGAAATTTAATCTAGATAATAATAATGCAACATTCAAATGTTCTTCCAATATCATTGGGCTTTGGGTTTTTATTACATTTTCAGTAAAGAAAGAATACTTGTCTTTTGTTTTTAATTGAATTACTCAATCAGTAGAGCCTTTTTTCATGTAAATGAGGTTTTTGGAAACTTAAACCAAATACAGATGAAAATCAATCAAAATATATTGTTTTACTTTGTTGGAAAGTGAGTGTTTAATCAAATTGTGAGATCCCAGCACACAACAACAACCCAGACTAGAAAGACAGTAAGAAGTTGTGATATTTAATTTCACTTACAAATAATCATAAAAATAAGAAATAATAATGAAGTGCTTAAATTAGATACCATGGAGGTGGACAGACAGGGAATACTGTGTCCAGTTTTGGGCCCCTCACTACAAGAAAGACATTGAGGTGCTGGAGCGTGTTCAGAGGCGGGCAACGAAGCTGGTGAAGGGTCTGGAGAACAAGTCTTATGAGGAGCGGCTGAGGGAACTGGGGTTGTTTAGCCTGGAAAAGAGGAGGCTGAGGGGAGACCTTATCGCTCTCTACAACTACCTGAAAGGAGGTTGTAGTGAGGTGGGTGTTGGTCTCTTCTCCCAAGTAGCTAGCGATAGGACAAGAGGAAATGGGCTTAAGCTGCGCCAGGGGAGGTTTAGACTGGAAATTAGGAAAAATTTCTTTACGGAAAGGGTGGTCAGGCATTGGAACAGGCTGCCCAGAGAGGTGGTGGAGTCACCATCCCTGGAGGCGTTTAAAAAACGGGTAGATGTGGCACTTCGGGATATGGTTTAGTCTGGTCTACCCTTGATTAGTCTAGAGTGGGCTTGGTAGTGTAGGCTAATGGTTGGACTGGATGATCTTAAAGGTCTTTTCCAACCTAGATGATTCTATGATTCTATGATTCTATGATTCTATGAAATAACACAGAGAATTGTATGGGTGAGACATTCAGACACACAAACCAGAAGTTCTCAAAAGGGTATACAGATGCTAGAACATTAAGCTGCTTAGAAATCAACAAAAATTTATTGAAACCAGCCTATTTTCATGTTTAAAGTACAAAAAAAAAAGAAAACAATATGACAGCAGTTCAAGCCTTCAGGCAAACATAATAGTTCTATTTCAGACTGGGAATGCAGTTTTATTCTGTAACTGTAAAGCACCCAAAGAAAACAAAACTACTTCAGTAGGTCACTAGTAGTACAAAATTAAGATATTCCAAAAGTGAGGAAACATTACTTCTTAATTTTCTTTCAGTTTCCTCTTCATGGCCAATACAATCTGCAACATGCCCCTTTAAAGAAAGAAGTGTCAGAGGGAGCATCAGCGTGACCTGCAGTGCAACAAACCTTGTTGCTACAAGCCTAGAAGCACCTTCCCTTGAGGCAACTGGGTGACCATCCCTGTAACTCCAGGATGGGATACCCCAAAAAATCAGGAAGGCTGCTGAGGCGAATTACCAGCAGTTGCTTGCCAGACTATCTAGGATTGCCACAGCTGCTTGCTTACACCTTGCTATACAATTACTAGGCTAAAATTGCTGAATGATTAAAATGTTCAGCTCTTTGGAATTGCTGACCTAAAGTATGTTTCAAATAAACTCCTGTATCCACCCGTTCCACAAGCTTTTCTACAATCTGCAGCCTTGCCTATTAGGCTGACAGACTACTTACAGCTCAGTGAGGGCAAATGAAGGAGGCTTTGAGTCAGGAAAG